AATATAGATTTTTTCTATTTCCGTGTGGCACATAGTCAACCATTTCCTCTTCACTGTTTGGGTAAATTTTTTTGTTTCAATTTATTTATATTGTAATAGATAGTCCTTGATGATATCTTTATTTCATGATGAATAGCACGAGCGCAATCCATGCCTCTGTTACAATAACGTAGTGTCAATATATGATAGTTTTTTAAATCAATAGATTATGTCATGAGTAAATGTTAATATATCAAAAAGAAGAGAAATCACACTTTTATATAGCCAACGTGTAGTATATCTAACGAACATATATCCCTGAAAAAGTCAAATTTCTAGTTACTTTCTAACGGTAAGAAAATCGTTCTACAAAAAATTAAATTTTGTATAAGTTTTTTTGAATCGGACTGTAATTCATCAATGAAATCGATTATTTTAGCTTGGATATATCTGAATATTGATTTTATAGCTAGACTTCTATTTGTTATTATATCGTCTTTAGATTTATCAGAGTAGCTTTTATATAAACATATATAAAATATCTTTGTGATCTATTTATAACCGATCATTTGCTTTTTTTCCTATAAATCAATCGTCTTACGTGTAAGATAATGGATTAATTAAGTTGATGATTGACATAGAAAAGCTCATTTTGTTATTGAATTCAGAATCAGAATTATTCATTCCATAGATACGAAATGTAATTGTGCATTACTCACATCTACAAATCAATTGAACGTGAATTATACTTAGTAAAGCTCATTCTAGCTTCCTTTCTTATTTCTCAATTTATTGTGCATGACTGAATTCATTGATTATCAACAAAAAGTCAAGAAGAAAATTATAATCGTATTAGAAATGGTTGAATTATTTTTAGAATTTTATTGAAAATTTTAATATCACTTCTAATGGATCATTTAATCAATGTTAATTCACATCATTTAACATTTATCATAATTACTTAAGTTCGGAATATACTCGGAACATTTTTAAATTTTTAATATCTAAAATAAATTCATTGAAATGATTATTAAATCTTTTTCTACTAATTAAGAAGTTTCGAATGAATTTATTCTTTAATACAACAAACTTTCTTATATGTAGAAGTTATTATTAGTAGTGATATGTAATACAAAATAATAAACAAGAGAACAAATGCTATATTAATTTAACTATAGATACAACAACAATAACAACAGATAACAAATTTCTACAACATCCAACAACAATTTGTATTTTTTTGGGCGTTTAGAATATGACGAGATAATAAAACACTGATGTTTTCCTTAGTTATAATTATTGTTTTGTATATTTTTTAGAAAAATATTTATAAAAGAAATATTGTACAAAATAGTTGCAGCTGTGTATACTAGTATCAGTTAAAGAATAATACAGAAGCCCTTCATATTATTTATCATAACATATATATCTAATCCATTTCGATAATTTTTTCTCGTCTTTTTCTTTTTTACGAAATATCGACTAGACATATTATATGATCGTATTCTAACACTATGGATCATCAATTTTCTATTCAAAATCAATGGTAATATGTTGTAGACACTATGCCGTAGGTGTTCTCAATCATTTCAAATTACTTTCTTTTTTATTTATGCATATATTGACCATGAAATCATATCATCATTTGTTACATGTTGAGTATCGCATGTTCGTTATTTTTTTTCTTTTCACGTTGTGCATTTGATAGATAGCTTGTGTTATTAAGATCTCCTATTGCATTATTTTTAAGCAGATGTTATAATAAGAAAGCACCAGTTTTTATGTTAAGAAAGATGAATGACATTTATATACATTCTTTCTCATCTTAATAAGTTATTGTTGTTCTTTTGTCTGTAAACGTCATATTCTAATGATTCATTATTATAATAATGCAATTATTGTCACCTGTTGGTATGATTATTATGTAGATTTACAAAAAACGTCGAGCAAACCCTAAGCCAATATATCATTCTGTCGTTTTTTTCCTTTTATGCACTTACAAAGACAGTTCCATTATATATTACTTGTCGTAAATATCTAATCAATATAATATTGTTATTCTGTGTACGACTATTCTCTGTTAAAAATAGAAAAATGCTCATAATTCGATTCTATTTTTACCTTAGAGTATTATTCTTGAAAACAATTTGGCATTTATCATTCATTATATATTACTAATCTTACTAACAACGATTTAAAGAGCTGAGAATAAGCAAAAAAAAAATAGAGAATGAAGAGAAAGAAAGAAGACGAAGAAGAAAGAAAAACCGCAAACCAAGAAAATTTAGCTAGAAATATCTTCATCATTTTTCCTTGTTCTTTTTTTTCTCTTTTATGAAGTCAACCGGTCACATTTTCTATTTTCTAACTATGAAATATACGTGCACGCTTTTGTTTCTCTCTATATATAATATTTTCTAAATAAAAAAAAGGTAAGTTTAAAGAGTGAAAGACATTTTTTCATAAGTATAATATATCATTATGAAGTTGCTTAACAACCAGAAATATATCTGCAATTCTTTTCCTAATATATTCATATGATAAATATTGTTTTGATCTACCACTACTGACACTATAATTAGACTTGTTTTTCAAATGATAATCTAATGATGTTGACTGTATTATTTGTTCTTTCTTTTTCTATTTTTCAGTGATATTTAGCTATAGAGAGATAAAAAGACAGATCTCGCGGGTGTACGTATCTAAATACAACTTATTTTCTCCACATAAACCACTCGTCTCATTATTCTCATCAATGAAATAATAGCATATACTATTCTAACTGATGCAATAAATATAGTACTATGCATAGACAGGCGGATGTGCGTGTTTTCTCCAATGTCTATATGATAAGTTCTCTTTTACATATCGACTGTATTTGGACAAGAATATAGAATACGATATATATATATATAGTTTGGTTGTTGTTAATAAAGACTACAAATAAAACGACATATCTTGTCCTTCACATTCTTCTTCGATTCTATATACTGTGATTTATATCCTTGAAGATCACAAAATTATATAGAGAAAGAAAACCGATGAGATTTGTATCTATGTATATAGATGTCTATTCGTTTGTAAAACATCATTTATTACAAGGTTATTTACAGAAACAAAAATCGATGTCGATAGAGAAGGTATATTTGGGCAATGAATCGAATAAATATGTATGTCACAACAACTATAACGCTAAGCAGAGTTATTGAAGAAGAAGAAGAAGAAGAAGAAGAAGAGAAAATAAATAATATTGGAAACACCATCATAACGATATACGAAAGTTAACGAACAGAACTATATCTGTAATTTTTCTATGTGTTTCTCTATTCTATAAATATGGTTTGACGTATTTATTTAATAGATGAACCACAAGGGGCTTGTATTAGGACATGTATATATATAAGAGAAAGATTAATCACCTATAATTTTATATCGTGCTGCATACAAAGGTTTCGATTACCTTCTGTTAAATGCTTGCATCATCACTAGATCACTTCCAGATTATAAATTTGTCCTCTTTATAGAAAAAAACTTAAATATTGAATTATGTCAACATATTATATTACGATATTTCAGTTGATGCATCTGTCTGTCTAGTTCAAAAAAGGAGGAAATTAATGTAGAAGACTAGATTGATTAGCACAAACAAAATTGAGCGACAAAGAAAGAAAGAAAAAATAACAAGAGAGAGAGAGAGACACACACACACAAGATACATATGAGTGAAGGTCGTTATATAGGAAAGAAAAAAAACCGATGCATGTGCAAAGGTCTGTAAAATAGTTTTGCATAAAAAATAACTTATATATCGATTGATTTTATTCTTTCTTTTCTTTCTTTTTTCTATTATAATTTTGACTCTTTATTTACCCGTAGATTTTTCTCAAATAAAATATTTTTGTCAATGATCAAAACAGATGATTTATCAAATCAAACATTGGCAATTCAATATATTTTTTATATTATTCATTTTTTTGATAAATTTCACCTTTACTGCTAGTAATAATCGAGAAAATCTAGCATTACGCCATCCATGCAATACAATTAACAAACGTCTTACACCCTATATTATATGGACAGAAAAACTTGCAAGTACTCAATACAAAGGTGAGTCCTTAATCAGATTTTCTACACATGTGTAAATATTATGATGAATAATAACAAAAAACAATGATATGCGTCCTACACGTAGACAGTAACAAAATCTAGCGATCAATGAAATAGAGAAGATCGATGAACAAATTGTACAAGGTCTTTTCATACAAAAATATATGTACTATTTGTGTATATTATAAAGATTTAATTACGACATTTAATCTAGCTATCAGAATCTAAACAGATCCCCTAAGGACTCCTATTAATAAATATTTTATGAATTTTTCATGTAAATATTAAACGTAAAGTTGTTCAAAATAATCTCAAGGCTTTGCTCTTTTTTTTTGTATTACTCATAGTTCAAAAAGATGCTTGTGGTCAGATAGGAATTGGACCAGCATGTTGTACAAATGAAATTCTTAATTCTTATGCAGTACCATTTGGTACTGAATTACAAGCATTATATGATACTGAATTAAATCATTTAACAAGAACACTTACAAAATCAAAACAACAAATCGATGGTGAATAAATACTATTTTCAATTCATTGCATTACTATGCACATATATTTATTTTAGTTTGGTCAGAAGAATATACTACAGAATTACGTCGTTTAACAATTTCTTCACTTGAAACATTGTTTGGTACTAAAGAATATCGTTTAAATATTCATCAGTCACTAGTAAATTTATTTAATATTCTCAATAATCATCATTCGTCAACCGATAATGTATCAAAATCAACTATCGATTTATTTAATCATCTAGTTATTTCACTCTATCGACAGTTTATGATAAAGAATAATCAATATTTCCTAGATGATAAACTTCAAAAATGTCTACTAAATAAAGCATTTGACATAAACGCATTATCGACAAAACGTGAATTACTCTATATATTAACAAGTGGTTCATCATTAATACATATTTTGCATACAATGCTTGTTTATATTGATGCAGATATTCAACGATTAAAATTATCAGCTAAATTAATTTCAAATCCATGTATAGAACGTTTTGCAAAAGAAACCTTATGTCCCATATGTGTTAGTACATCATTTTCTACTCGTCATAGCAATACAAATAATAATGAACTTCTATGTAAAGATGACTGTCAAAATGTTATTAAAAAATGTTTTAATCAGACAGATAATTCTTATATTCTGTTTGCTTCAATGATTAAAACTTATTCTACGATTGTACAAGATATTGAACGTAGTGTTATTGAACTTAAAGTAAGTATATATATATTTAAAATTAATATAGAATTATTTTCTTTTTTAAGCTTGTCGAACGTCTTTCAAAATTACATATTTATCTATATGATATGGTTGTTAAAGCTATTAATAGTCGACATATATATACCCAACTTCAAAATGCATGTCCAAATTCCGATGATAAACCTTTTACTCCTATATTATCTTTACCGCCAACTATAAATGAACGACGTGAACTTGTAGTCAAATGGAATAGATCATTACATTTCTTATTTAAACAACTTCATTTATCAATTGATAATCTCTATCTAAAATTCACACAACAAATAATTACAGATATTTGTTCCAATCCAAATTATGCTTCAAGATCGAATCAATGTACTCAAATTAATAAACAAACTACGAAGTAAATCAAAAAATATATAAACGTTCGATATAGATAGTTTCGAATAGCATCGAATCATCGTTAAGATTGAATTTATTTTATAATTCAACAATATCTCGAGTTACTAAGTGTTCAGTACTTTAAAAACAATATAAACTCATCCTTAACCGTCATACAATTATTCTGCGTTTATATGCATATCCTGATAGTTAATTCCTCTAAAATCTTTTTACACATGCACAAATGAATCTATAATAATTATATCATTTAAACTATTCATAGAAAACTAAATAATACAAAAGCCATATAGCATCGTGTATTTCTATGACCTTGTCTATATCGAAATATAAGGATTACTGACTAATATTAAGAGATTAGTCTGATTCGTTTTATCAAAACAATATTTCTCTAGGTTAAGATTTGTCAGATCAGAAAGTCCCTAGCTAACTAAGAGCGTCTATTGTATAAATCAACGAAAATTTATTATTTGTTAGAATCATACGAAATGTAATTAGAAAATTTTTACTTTCACCTTCCAGACAAAACTCATAAGATCAAGACAGATAAAAACCAACAGATGGAGGTAAAGATCTATCAAATGATATCATAAAATTTGAAGATAACAAAATCAAATAAATATCTCTCAGCATGTACAAAAACAGGAATAACTTTAAAGATTTAAATGTGTGAAATTTTTTTATCAATAATTCTTTATATTCTAGTTTATTTCAATGGCCACTTGAATCCATTCCACAATCCACAATAAATACGAATAATATCGAATTAACGCGTAATCAACTTGATGATTTAAAGAAAAAAATGATACCTATACAACAAATGATTATCTCACTTCGACCAAAAGAAAAAAATCCATTATTAATTGAACATTTACCTGATTTTGGTTCATACGATGATGATGTTGATGATGGTAATATAATGAATGACATTGATACACAATCATCACTGTTTATTGAAACATACGATAATGATCTTCAAGAATCACTTAGTGAACGTATTTATAAAGAAATTGATGAACAAACTACAGGTATGAATTTTTTGTTTTATGTTTCTAAGAAAAATCTCATTCTTTTATTATAGATCGATCAATAATACCTGCTAGAAAATCTTCAAAACAAACTAACAAATCTCAATCAATAATTTATAGTATTCAATTGTATTTAATTATTTTTATTCTTCATCAAATATTATTTATTAGTTAATGAACAGAGAGAGAGAGAGATAGAATTTTAAATTTTAAAAGTCTGATTTGTTTTTCTTATAGTGATATGTTATTATTATCCATCCAATATTTCTTATTTATTATTATGACTTCGTTTTTGTTCTAAATAAATATCCGGTGTTTTATCCTTTTCTCTACCATTATAGATCCATGTTTAATGTACTTTGTTGTTTTGTAATTAAATCATCAATTAAATAATGTTTTTCTTTTTTTGTTTTATTCCTACAAAATCTTGTTAACATTGATCTCATATATATATATTTAATTTATTCCAATAAAAATTGTTTGAATAACAATAGAATATTAGAAAACATAAGATTCATTTAATAAGTCACTTAAGTTTATTCTTATTGTTCTGTTATGATCTTATTGAGTTAGAAAAATATTTTCCATTTCAATCTAATTTTAATGCTTGACAATTTTTCCGGCGTTTACCGGATGTTCATATTATTTATTCAAAGTGCATTGTAATAGTAGCATTTTTCATACTTTACAGCATTAAAAATAGCTGAAGTTTTTCTTCTTCTCTACTTTATATTAATGTCTTTAGAAATACTGAATATATAATCCGCTTTGAAATAATATTCATCATATTAATTGACAGTATGAAGGCTTTGGAGAAAAAAAACAGAACTGTTGAAGAATTATTCTGCTATATTCATAACTCGTCAGAATTATAGGTTATATAAACATAATCGTTATCAAAATCTTAGTTATTTGGGTCATATGTTATTAAAAAGTTGATTTCGCTATGAAAAAACAGAATTAGGCCAATGTACCGATCTAATTATCAAGGATAAATTCTGATTATCTGTTGTCTTTCAGCGACATGTCAACAATTCTCTTTCCAATATTTGTGTAATGGCAAAACGATTTATTAATACCAACATCATTTTGACAAGATTCTATTACATATTACAGATCAATAAATCTCTCGTTATTCAAATAGAAGAGAAAAAAAAATCTTTATTAGATTGGTTAATAAAACAACTCTTCAACATATAGACTAGATTAACTAAATATCGATAAGCTATAACACATAAGCTTGATATATTCGACATTTGTTCTTATAATTATGAATAACCTATCTTATGTTCACATTGTTTATCAAAGAATATATCAGAGAAACTATCTGTTACATATCATTATATACAAATAAAAATGCAAACAGTATGTTGTAACTCAGATTTCATCCGAGAGAAACCTTAGAGAGTTGAATATAACTAATTAATAGATAAACACAATATGGAAAACAATAATTATAAGAAAATTTTTTTATTTATTTTTATTTCTATGTATTCAGGTCAAATTGATTTCTTTCGAGCTGGTAAACAAATTTGTCACATCTGCGAATCAAAAATGAATAATATTTTAAGATATATAAAAGTAACAGATTGAGAATCAATACATAAAAGATTTAGTTGTTTTTTTTTCGAGTGAGAGAAAAAAAGAAAACGAATAAACATACATAAATGGAATAGTACTTATTCGTAATTAAGTTTTTACAAATTTAAACAAAATTTCCATAATTATGTTGATGTTATTCGTAATCGTTTAACAGTATCAATATGACATGATTTACGTTTTTTTGATGATTTATTTAATGTATCAATTGTTTGTTCATAGGGTAAAAAATGTTCATTTTGTATTATAACCGGTAGAAATGTATTTGTTGTTGATGAAATTTTAATAAATGAATAAAGTAAATCAGAAAAATGTTTGCGTGATTGTAAAAAAGTCGAACGAATTAATGATGTACGATGTAATGATTCTGAATAACGTGTTGATTGTAATTTTTCTGTTGAAATTTTCATAATACGTATACAACAATATAAATCATCCATTTCAATATATATATATGTCTATCTAAAAATAGGATATTTTCTTTAATAATATCAAAATATGGCCTATAATCATTTTCTTTTTATAGATATGAATGAGAAGAAGAAGACGAAGAAGAAGAAGAAGAAAAGAATCGTATGCTTTGGCATACATACAATACAAAAAAAAACATCGTCTGTCGATAGTATTAGTTGATGTAGGTCGTTATTCTTCTTTTCATTCTGTCTTTCGGAAAAGATTTTGTAGTAAAAAATAGGAAGCAAAAAAAAGAAAAAGAAGAAAGACTTCTTTTTTTTCTTCTGTTCTCGATGTTTTTCTTTCTTTCCTACATCGATCAATTGTGAATCGAGTTATATTAATGACATAGAAGAAAAACTAATTTTTCTTCGTTTAAACAAAAGAAGAGAAAAGAATTTAGTTAATATTAAATATATATATATATACATTTCTTTTTGCCTATGTTTTAAGAATTAATAATAGATGAAAACAAAAATTTTAACTAAAGTCGATAGATTTTATTCATTCTTCTTTTTCTTTAACAATTGAAAGAAATTCAACAATTACACTTATTTCATTCCACTTACTATTGTATAATTGAATATGACATAGTAAATAAAAAACTTTACCCTTTCTTGTTAATAACATTTAAAGTTTAATAATTCTTCCAGCTGTTTTCTTTACATGTTTCTAACAGTTTCATAGTAGTTAACTACGCTTATATATAATAATTATTTGCAAACCTATACGTTTTTTTTCTCTTATCAAAATATTTGGAATCAATACATATATAAATAGAAAATTTCGAATAAATACCTAATGGTTTCTTTTTCTTCTTTGGTTCACTTGTCAATAAATATGTTTTCTGTTTGTCTCGATTTCTAAATCAAATGAATGAATTGATGTTGACACTAATAACAAAAGAAATGAGAGAAAAGATAAATTCATATTTTTGTCAGTATATATATGCATGCATGCACTTCATTGATTATGCACACACCGTCTTTGTCTTCTCAATCGACTACTTTTTCATCTTTATTTTTTCTATTCATATTGTGCTCTTTTTTTTGTGTGTGCCTTCCGGATGATTATAACACGCAAACCAAAAAAAAGAAAGAAGGAAAGGGGAAGAGATTCTTTTGTTTCTTATCTATGATAAAACTAATATTCTAATGAAATACATAAAAGAGAGAAGTAGATAGTTTTCTCGTGATTAATATTGAACAACAGAAGAGAAGAAGAAGAAGAAAAAATGATCAATTATTCATCCGTAAAATGTCAGATTACTTATCTGATAAAGTTCAATGTAGATGATAATAATAAAGTATGAGACGTATGACAACATATACATGAGACAAATAAAATACAAAGAGAAAAGTAAAATGTATGAATATTTCAATTTACTTTGTAAATGTCATCATTCAATATTGTCATTTTATAGAAAGAAGAAGAAAAAAACGCGAAGACATCAAAACAATACTCATTGCATGTGGATTATTAACTGTATGTGTATGTTCGTTGTTTGATGATATTAGTAAGTTTATACTACAGATTATGTGAATCAATCAATACGGACTCAGACAGGATATATATATATATATACGCGTCTATTAAACATTAATCGATATCGTTTTGAATGTTTAATTTTATAGACTATATATTCTTACATATATTATTCAGCTTCATTTACCGTTTTAACTGCTGTAGAATAAAAAAACGCTTATTTTTTTCTATTCTGAAGGATTATGGAATTAAATAAGAAGTATCGTCTTAGCTAGTGAACGAAATAGATACTCTTCTTCTTCTTCTTAATAAAATATCGTCATATGTCTTTCATTCTTAATCTAAAAATAAATGGACAAATGATAATAATTATTCGAATAGAATTACAATAGGAACAAACAAGCACATTTATTTAATGCGAAATAGAATCACCTACAAACAAATATAATGGTTATCTGCGTAAATATACAATCGGAATATTCTGTCATGTAAATCTGTCGCAAGCAATTACATACAAACGCATTATTTGACTTTGCCTCCGCATAACATTATTCTATTTGTTAACATAGTGTTGATGTACGATAGATCCAAGATAGAATGTATACTATTTTTTTCTTCTTCTAAGAATATGATTGCATGTTTCAATCTCTACGGAATATTATTTTCTTTTGACTATTAAATATTGTATTAACAATAAATTATTTTGTCTCTTTTTTTTTTATATTTAAACGTTCCTCATGAACATCTTTGAAGTTTATATATATACTTTTATTCATAATAAATCATTTTACCTAAATTGGTTTATTATTTATTTCTCATGAGAATAAAAGATTTATTGTGAATTTTATGTTAAATAACTGAAGAAGAAAAAAAAATCTTTTATATTATTATACAGCATGTTAGATAAACTACATTTTGTATAGCCCAGCCTATCAAAGAGAAATTAATCAATAAAATGATTACTAGAAAACATGTCTGTCAACGAATTGATAGAAAATTGATTTATATAAGTACTGATTTTTTATATTATCTTTCTTTCTTTTTTTACAAATTGTGCATCTTCAAATCATGTCTCTTATCTCAAGTATTATTAATTCAAAACAAGAAAATTCAATACTTATGAACGTTCGATTCTTGTACTAAAAGAAATAGATTTAATTTAATCATTCTTGATACAAATATCATAAGCTTGAATGTACTTCAGTATTCATCTTGATATTATTTGGTTTCTCTTCATTCTCAATAGAAAATATATATATGAGACTGTTACACTGAATGACTTCTGTATAACAAATGAAAATATTAAGATGATTTTATTTCTTTAAGTTTAGTAAAATTAATTTTTAATGTTTTTAGCATTGACATATATTTTATTGTTATAGAAAAAATTTCCAAGCCATATACCAATAAAATTACTTCTTTGTAATCTTATTTCCAACTTCTTCAAAAGCATACATGATTCAAACTTTTAGTCATTTTTTATAAACCTGTCCCCCCCCCCCAGATTAATCCTATAAGAACCTAGCAAAGTCAAATGCATAATCATAGCCTTAAATTATTCAATATAAATATTTATATTTTGTAAATATACATACGCTATTACCTTTTAAAATACATGTGCAGCATTGATTAGAACGAAATATAAATACTATAATTATATATTTTTTTCATTATTACATACAAAAAATCAATCGTCAACACTAATTTGAAAGTATCTGAAAATGAAAATAAATTTCATGATAATTTTTTATTATGTTTTTTCATAATATATAAAACATAAAACTGTTTACACAAGATTAACTTCACATTTAAGTTGGAATACAACCTTGAGTCATAGAATAAAGTGACTCAGCGCATGGGGGTGCGTGGTAGGTAGATATAAGTCATGATAAGAATAAGGTTGAAAGTCAATAGACAAAATTTGGAGGTTTCCAACTCTTTACCAAAAATCATATCCAGATGAAATACGTATGTATACATTCTTCTTTCTGTTCCTTTTCTGACGTCAACCCATGTCATTGCTTGGTATTTCATCTTCAACCTCCACTTCCCTTGATGAAAGTCATGAAACAGATTCGTATATATATACTCACATATCTAACTGAGAAAGTCATTTTAAATTAAATTCAACCTTAACATTATGGATCCTTCTGTTGATAATACAGTAGCTATTATGATTATACAAGCCGATACTAAACCCAATGGGTCATCTACTATTGGCTACTGCAAGTATGCTAATCGAATACAACATCGGACGCAGCGATTTTCACGAATTGATCGAAACATTATTCCATCTTAATATCTTCTCATCAACATCGATATTAAAATTCAAAATATAGTCAATATAATGTAATATGGAGATACAAATCTGAGCTTGATAATAATTTATTACGTTGACCGTAAATATATATATTATTTTTTTATTGTATACGAAATATTCGTTCCTATATATTTATAACGTTTTCTGTGAAAATAAATATTTATATTAATCAAGACCAAGTCTTTCAATAATAACCAATACTAGAAATAGCATTATCTAATAATTAAATTTGTTCTATAAGATTTCTTTGAAAAATGATCAATAGATCGATGAAAATCTTTCCAAGAATCTTTCCAAGTGATCTTCAACGTATTTACTTTTTTTATTCCTGTACACCTGAGATAAGACACGCATAATAAAGATACGAAAACGAGCACTATATATATTTTGATTGGCTTGAATTGTACATGGAATAAATTTAATCGACAGTAATCTAGCAATGAGGATTAAATCATAAACTAAACACATACATCTATATTCCACAACTAAATTAAATATCTTTATTCGTATAATCCATTATAAATAATTTCTATTTGATAAAATATTTATGATTGTTTCATATAATTATCTAAATTGACTTACTAACATTGAATGATATATATTCAAAGTATTAATTATGAAAAAAAAGAAATAATGACCTTGACATTTCTTTTATAATATCAAACAATTTATTTGAAAATAATTACTTCTATGATACGCTCTATTATACACTAAATAAACTATGATAGTTTGAAGAAACATTAAAAATGAAATATCGATTATTTACCTTGTGGCTTTTATCGCAGACTCATGATATATATATAATTATTTATTTTATATGAGTCTTTTAATAGAACAGTGTACGTAAATCTTTTTTTGAATGGCAACATCAGACGTCATTATAAATACAACAATTCAGTACCTGGCATGATTTTTAAGAAATCATACTTGATAAACATTCCATTTAGGTACTCTTAAAATCACAACTACTAGTCGTTCGCTGCATAATTCATGGTTGCGATAGGCAATATGTGAAAAGTCATTGAAAAAGAGTTGAGAATAATAGAATACTTATATAAAAAGAAATGTCTTTTGCGGCGTTATATGACGAAAACAACAAAAAGTTTTCTTTTTCTTTACTTTTTTAAAAGTCATACCATTTTTTCAATAATCAATATATAAGACAGTAGATTCATGTCGTCT